AGTATTGTCACACAGAATTTGAAATACCCTATATAATATTATATGATATACTTTTAATCCAAATCAAATTGGTTGTATTGTCTACTTAAAGTTGTTTATACTTATGTCTTATAGGCCCGAATTAAGGGGGGGGACGTATAAATGTATAATTGTTCTTGTTATCTAACAACGAGACCGACATGATCATGGATATAAAATTATAACACTAACACATGATTACATGAAAATTAAGTACACTTACAAATCAGAAACAACCATTGCGGCGACCGCCAAAGGGTTTCCAAATCGGAACTAAACAAATGTATAAACTCAGTTCATAAAAACATTCACCATTCACCGGAAAAACAAAAATTAAAATTTACACCACACAAATTAGACACTGTTTACAGACATATTTGATATTTTGTTGTCGCCAGTCGGCACTCGGCATTCGGCGGTTGAACAATGTACCGGGTAGTCGGTACTCGGTACCAAAGCCCATTTTCGTTCGGACTTTGGTGATAACGCCGCATTTTAACAAGGAGTATTTATACTCAGTATACCACGGTCATAGATGGTTATTAAATTACCACACCACGGCCTGGCTTCTCAACCTGGTTATCATGAACGGAGAGGAAATCGTTATGCGTACTTACCGCTATCTGTAGTCCGCGCAACGAAAACTGGCTGGTAACCGGCGCGATTCTAGCGGCCATTTCCGGGCATATTAAGCAGGCGGGCGGGTCACGGGGGTCACCGGCCAGTTTTCGTTGCGCGGACCACAACAGTATCCAACAGATTATTGTTAATATTAAGAAACCGGTGAATTCTGTTGAATCGTGGTTCGTCTGGTGTGGGTTGTACATGCATCATATTTATTTCTATAGTTGTTATATTAATTATTCAAGATATTGTTTTTACACAATAAATGCTTATATTGGCCAACAAAATACTAAAAAAAAGGTGGGTAAGTGGATGTCGCTTTGCTGTACAGACTCAGAGGCGGATCTAAGAATTTTTACGCACGGGGAAAATATTAAAATTAAGCCCAATCATAGACCAAGATTGAAAATACAATATCATTCCCTACAATTGTTTTATCATAACTGGAACTAAAATTACAAACATACTTATTAACTTTTAAACACATAATAATATAAAGTAATTAATATATTCTGTTGACTGTGGTGTAACCAAGTTTATACAAATAAACTAGGTATCACGCCAAAAACACTTTAAATTTAAAAACTTAGTTAACATATTGTTGATACATTTTTAATTACTGGAAATACTGTAGTGGTTACTTCATTGTATTTATTATTAGAAATAATAATAATATTAGTTATATATAAATGTTGAAAAATAATCAAAACTTTAATTACCTACCTATCCTGTATAAAAATTATAAACCCTTTTGCTGTTTTGGTTCTATGCGCCTCAGCCTTCAATTATAATAGATTTTTATGGTAAAATATAAAATCTTTTATTCTGATTAGGGTACACAATTTAGGCCAGTAAAAAATTGTATTTAATTAAACAATTTATAATAGAAAAAATGAAAAAGTAAATATTTAAAATCTTTTTTTTAAACATAAACAAATGTATAACTATCTTGGTAAATATTATAATATATAATATTATAAACTATATATTAACATATTTTTCAATATACAGATATAATATAAGTATCGTACGTTGATTGATAATCTTATAACAGTTATTGTGTAGGTATCAGAAATTTTAACGAAAACACAGCATCAATAAATGCCTAGGTATAGTTACTAGTTACATTTTCACTCAGAATCTTAATAATTATAGTATATTAGTTGTATATGCTTGCAGTAGGTATGCTAATGCCAGTATACCAGTATATACTTAGTATACTAATACGAAACTATTCATAATACCATTAACTTTATTTTTTTTTTTCATTAATTCCAACGTCATCACTACAATAATGTGAAATAAAAATGTTTTCTTAACTTCTATCACCAAGCATTAAATAAAGAACTAAAGAAAAATTACGCCCACTAAAATTTTACGCCCGGGGATCAATCCCCGGCTTCACCCCCCTAGTTCCGCCACTGTGTACAGTAGGTTACAAGTGCATCACTGTATAATGGATGGTATTACATTTGAATTCAATGATATATAATATCATTTTATACGAAAAACAATTCTGAACGGTGACGGTGTGTGAGTGTGGATATTTTATTTTATACCTATTTATATTGTTATTAGTTATTACTTATTATCAATACGGTTGACGGTTACCTAGTTGAATTAATATTATAAAATTACAACAAAATAACTAAAATAGTTATTCTTAGTTGTTTAATATGTAATTTCGTCCAAATTTTAACTAGGTATAAAAATAAACTGTCAATGTATTTTTTTAGATATTTTGGTAACATAATTAATTAGGTACTTTCATGACTTTTCATTTCTAGTACCATACTTACTTGATTAAAAATCAACTTACTTAAAAAACACGCATGTGGACAAGTGCGTTTATCTAGTAAGCCAATTTTAAATATAGGTATATATAGAAAAAGAACAAATCTAAATATTTAGAAAATAATTGACAATTTTGACAAAGCAAAATCGAGAAAAGATATTTCTTAAAATAGAACATCTTAGATAATTATGTTAAATAAATTATTTATTATTTAAGATTAAGATGACTTTTAAATATTATATTATTACCTATAATATGTTAAAATATGATAAATCTATAATGCAATAAATTTCATTTGTAGTAAAATTATAATAAAGGTATAATACTGAAAATTGTTTTTCAAGGGGGCCCCTAAATTTTCTTTTACACCAGGGCCCCCTGAGTTATGGATTTGGCACTGAGGGTGACTTCGGGGGAGGGAAAACTGACAGGGTATACTAGTATAGTCTATAAAGCCGTTTTCTTCGAACGCAATTATTAATTCCAACAAGACAACTTTAAACTTAAAACGTTTTACAAACTACAATTTAACAAACGGTTAGATGTCTACTCTTGAACATTTTAAAAGTATTCTAATCAGAAATTATTAAGTAATTACATTTATTGAATAAGAACTTATTTAATAACTGTTCAAATATTTAACAACAATAATTGGTTAAAAATAATAGTATGTTATTATTAAGTAATATATTCATTAAAACTGGGACGATGCTACGAAGATACCTGTCGATAAAAAAACGTTATAAGTGTAGATAAGGGCCAGGGGGGTGGGGGCTAAGATCTATTGAGGGGCTTAGTCTCTTCATGCTATGTTTGCTCTTGTAGTCTCATTCTTTTTATTTTTATTCATATTTTTAATTCATTAGGTATTATGCAAAATGAACATAAACTTTTTAATTACCTACCCAATCATCATAGTTGACAAATTAAAAATTTGTAATAGTAGACGCTTTTATAAATAAATAAAAATATTACAATTTTATTATTAAATAATTGACAAAACTTTAAACATTTATAAAATAAAAAGGGTAAATACTAAAATATATAACATTTAAAATAATATGAACAGTTAATTTTCAACAAATAAGAATTCAAAAATATTTTGACAGTTGTTATTTTCAGTATAAATAATTATAACTATCTTAAGTTAATTTAAGCTTTAACTATAAACAATATGACTCACATGATATTAACAATACCGTTTTTATTTTATATTTTTATACAAAAATCTACAACTTACAATTTACAATCATTACAATACAAATTATGAATATTAAAATAACTTACTTTATTAATTACATTACATTTACCCTTGTTTTTATTGGTTTTATAATAACATTTCCTTTAAATTCTAATAATACATTGATTATAATATAGATCCTATTACAGTATTACCTATATACCAATTTGTAATAAGTCATATTGTATATTTTATAGATTATTGATTAAATATTATCTTATATTCTTATGTATACAAATGCAAAGTCTTTTATTTGGTAATGTATGTATACAAATAAAAAATGAGTAAAAAAATAATTAAAATGATTCTGTGAATATAATAATATAAAATAAACATAACAACTATGCAGTAAAATAATATAAAAAGGAAATACGTTTCCAAGTATTTCCAAGTACTAAGTAGGTGAAGCTAAGTCTTAGAATAGTCACATCAAATGTATGTAATATTGTAATAAACTCTTAATATAGGTAATGTATAAGTATTGCCTTTGGTTTCTAATTTTTATTTACATATTTATTTCAATTATTTTTATCATGAACTACTAATTAGCAATATTAACGAGTTATAAAATATTTAGTTTAAATATCAAATGCTTTGGCAATAATTTGAATTTAGGTACCTAGAGCAAGAAACTAAAAATAAACCAATTGATAAAAGTGCACACTGCTGTCCTAGAAATATTGCACTAAGGTTTATGTAACCCGAACATAATATAAGGAACTTTATATTACGGTATATGTTACTAAAAATTATTGATACCTTACAATTAATTTGTATGCGGTAGTCCATATTTTGCAGTAAAAATAAACATGTTTATATAAACTATCCTTTTTTGAATTTAATCAACAGTACACTAGATGTGAGGAATACAAAAATCCATATTATTGTGGAAAAAAAACCAATGTAAACAGAAGGTTCGGTGATTGGCCAACCTCTTGCCAACATTGATCGCATCGACTCCGTAGACTGTGTTAGTGGCAAAATAAAACTTATGGATTTTGTCACTGCGTGCATTCCTTCCACTGGCCATATTATGCCTGAAAACACGAAAAGGTAATCAATTATTTAATATAAAATATGATGCTTTTTCACACAGTTATTGTAAAAATCTTGTGTATGTTCAGTAAAAAACATTTTCACACGGATTAAGGATTAAAGTGAAAATATTTAAAAGCTTTTGAAAATTTAAGGATAAATAGTTACTTATGAAAAACTGCTATAAAATAATACGAACCGCAAAGCATGACGATTGGAAGAAAACTGCCCATTGCCAAATATGTCGCATTCCTCTCACTGTCAGTTACACAAGAAACTACAAATCCTAAAACACATAAAAAATAATTATTTGATGTTAAATTAACACGTTATATTTTTAGTCTACACGTTTCGATTTCATTGTGAGATTAAAATGTATAATTTAAATAATTTCTTACCAAAACACATGCCACACAATCCAGTCAGTATCGTTAATAAGCATATCCAAAACACATCCCCTTCGTTGGTAACATCAAAAATAACTAATGCGAATGCAATGACCATCAGTGATTGGAACACCATGATTACAAGTTGACACGCCACGTGCCCTAAAAGTACTTCAATCCCCGTAATACCTAGTAAAATTATATTGTGATACTTATATTAATATTTGTTTTATTTCTATAATTTATTTCTATAAAAGTTATGTCAGTATTTAAGTTTACCTGAAACTAAACTTCTTTCTAATATGCCTTCGTTTCTTTCGATCAACATAGCGCCAGACGTCAAAGCTACGGCCAAGAAAAATATAATCCTAGAATTTCAGAAATTAATTATACATTTTTCAATAACTCATTATTCATTATTATATCATTCATTACCTACTCATAGCCCATAGGTGATATGGATGGTAATAATATAAATATAAATAATTATTACTCACGTGAGTATGACCCCTGGAGCAGCAAAATCGGTAAAATTTGGTACGTATGGGCCGTATATAGGTTTATGGAACTAGAAATCAAATAGGTAGGAACACAAATATTAATCTAAATTATACCTAAATATATAAAACCTATGTAAGTAGTATTTTTTGGTAAAATAAAGGTCAAAATATTGGTAAAATAACAAATTCATTAACTTAAAACTATATATTCATATTATGATTATTAGATTAATTATGATTAATTACCTGTATAGGGCTAGTTACGACTTTTGTACTGAAGTTACAATTTACCGCCAGAAGTTTAGCAAAATCTTCGAAAGCAAACACAAGATCTCGTCGAAGCAGCATGGATATTTGTTGATCTAAAATAATAATGGTGATACTTCAAAATTGCATAATTCCACTCTAGATATAGGTGGTAATAATGGAACAAATAATAATTTCCACAGAATTTATTGATCTTATATTTGTATAGATGTAGGGTATTTTCATTTTATTTAGGATTACTCAGACAAAAAATAATTAAGATCAATTACTCGATTCGTCGAGCCAAATGGAGACAACACTATCATCTAGTGCCAACTCCGTTGTTTCCGACCCTTCGTCCATACGTTGCATTAGTGACGTTGAATAGTTTGAAGTGAAAGATATAGCACCCCAAGCTTTACCACGTTTAACTGCTCGAAAAGCGGATTCTTCGTCGTCGAAATAATCCTATTGCAGAATTTAACATATAATATGGTAAATGTTACGACTTTAAAACCATAAAAAAAATTTACTGTTCACACGTAATTTGTTGAGAAAATAGTTATCAACGATTTTAATTCATAAAAATCACTCACTAATACTTGCCGCCGTAGTTCAATCTGACGTAGGAACTGGCAACTGAGTTGAGTTAACTCGCAAGATCCGGTCGGCGGGCACGTTCTATTGTTGGTTTCATGGTTGACGATGGCCAAGTGCAAGCCATGAGGATCTTTTCCAACGGACAAACAAAACAACACGATTTGGGCAACTGGAAGTCCGACAATAAACATCATTACCCTGTGAGCAACAGTAAAATAACAAATAACTTCAAAGCCCAATGCAATGTATTTGTATATGGTGTATTGGTGTATCCAACGATTGGCAACTTAGTTATAATTGCTGTTGTCCAGACTTGGACTAATTATAACGATCATTAAGGAGCAGTGTTAGAACACTGCTTTTGAAGCGAAAGGTTTTAAATAACTTAGCTGTATAGGTAGTATACGTATACCTATTACATGCATTATTGATTATGACGTTAAATAGCAACTAACAAAAAATTAGAAAATAGTGTATCAAATTATCATACCAATATGTATAATTTTATTATGTATTTTATTTTAATATTAAAAATGTTGAGTACGAATGTCAAATACATTAGTATTCAAAAATATATTCAGTTTTAAAAAGTAGTGTGAAGAATTTCGTTTCTCAATCACTGGTAATTACTTTTACAGACAATATTTTGTTTTATTAGAGTAGGTACCTATTAGACGTTGATTCTATAATTCGATATTCATTATTTCCAATTTAATTTATTTCTTACCAAATAACCTACTTATAGGTTAAAAAATAAAATAACATTATTATAAAAATAAATCAATTATATTTTAAATTTTTATTATTTCCTTACTTTTTATTTAAATATTAATAATGCATTTTCAACAACGACCACAACTAAAATTATATTAGTGAATTTGGGCTTTTAGATGCTGAGCGGAGCGATGAATGTATTGCTTTTTATGATAATTTTAAATAACCAAAAATAAAGATTTTAGTTATTTTGTTTTATAATATTAATTAAATTTACCGGCTACCGTATTAATAATAAGTAATATAATAATATAAATATAATATAAAATATCCGCACTAACAAACCATCTCCTCTCAGAATCAATTTTTGCATACAATGATATTATATGATTGAATTAAAATTAAATACCATCCATTAAACAGTGACCCACTTGTAACCTACTGTACAGCAGAGCGACATCCACTGACCAGCTTTTTTTCCTGTTAAACTCATTGTTACATTTATTATACTAAACGTAAGCCAAGGTTACATACTTACATTACTATAATTTAATTTAGTGTTAATAATTTATTAGTCCCTATCGATTATCAGATGTCATGCAAGTTTTGCTTATAACACATATATTTAATATTTATGGGTAGGTAACCTAGTTTTAGCAAAACATAAAAAACTTTAAATTTAAAATATTTTTTTTTCTAAAAATAATTGGTTATATTACATTAATGTATTCGTATATTAAGGTCACTTACGCCACATTTCTCCACATCCACAGAAAGTTTTTCCATATCAATGCTCGCATGTGATGCGTCTGAAATATTTTGCATCGGTCGAAAAATGCCATTTTAGTATTTACTTCTGGCGGAAGTTCCATTTCCGCATTGTTGACTTGCATCGAAGATACAGACATACGCTTACTTAGTGGAACTGGACTAATACTGTCTCCAAATTCTCCGCTCATTTCCGACGAGTTGTCACATATCGAATTCAGCGCTTCGATAGCAGGAGCGGGAGATGTTTCCTATGGATAGGGTTTACAAGGATTCATTATTATTATACATTATATAACAATAACATTTTAAATTGCTTATAATATAGATCATAATATGATATAATTTTTACCGGAACAGAAATGGCGGCTGTTATGTCATGCAAAATGCTGCTACGCCTCCGTTTTCCACGGTTTTGAATGACACTAAGCTTTAGAAAAACGTCTTCTAGTGATTGACAATTGTATTTTTGTAACAGGGATGTAGGCGATTCTTCAGCCAAAAATTTTCCGCCTCTCATTAAACCAATCTGTTAAACACCGGTATTTACGATATTCAAAATAAATGTTTTATCATAGACTTAAATCTAACTTATAAAATTTTGAGACGAGATTTTACCTACTTTAAGAGAATCATACCTCGATACAAACTTCTGTTTTCTTAAATAATAATCCCCCTTATTTACTGGTTTTAAAATAATATATAATAGACGTAATATCGGATCTAGTAATTAGTGTTTATTATACTTTGACCATTTTTATAAACTATAAATATAATAGATTAATATAAATTACAATAATTTTTAAACTTCCATAGCACTTGCCCTCATTACTTTATAATCCATTATCATGGACCTATTATCCTTACCTAGACACCTTAGTACATAAAGTTAAATAACTTGAACTACTGGTTCAAATTTTGATTTTGATACTCCAATATTTTCAAAAAATTATCCTCTAAATTATTTGCCAGTTAACACGAGTGGTTTTTATTTTTAAAAGAGAAGTTTGTGTCACCACAGGACCTTACCATCCTCTTTTAGTAGGTAGTAAAAAAACCCAATCATTTGAAATTGTGGTGTAACGTCTCCTCTCGACAATTCGTTACAGTTGTCTTCAAGTATATAATATTGAAGTATATGTATAGTATTTAATATTATTATCATAATTATACACATGTAATAATTACCATATGAGCTTGCCTAGTCTCATCAATGTAATGTGTGGTTACAATAATGGTTGTTCCTCCATCCTTAGTTAAATGGACTAAATGGTCCCATATTCTGTGTAAAAACACCACACATATTAATAAACGTATGTTTTTATAGGTATGTTATACGAACCCTTGTCGAAGAACTGGGTCAACGCCAACAGTAGGTTCATCCAAAATCAGTAACTCGGGATTGTGTAACAGTGCCGCGGCAAAAGAAACTCTTCGTTGCTGTCCACCACTGTACCAAAATGCATCGAAAAACGTGTGTTATTATTCATTATATTCAGCAAATATAACACATATTATAAAGAAATTAATTAGGTGTACCTCAAATTTTTTACCGGTCTGCTGGCCGACGGTAACATTAAGAATTTAAGTAAAAATTCTATTTTGTCATCCACTTGTTTTGGCGTCATGCCGTTTACCATGCCAAAAAACTGCATAGTTTCCCGTATCGTAAACTCTCCATAAAGCGCAATTTCCTTTAAAAATATGTATACATTATTTTTGAGTAAAAATCAATTTCTCCTGCTTCACTCAAAAGTAGTCAAAACAACTGCAGAGGAGTATGAGGACATCGCTACTATACCTGAGGCATGTATCCGATACGAGGTCCTGGAACGCCGCTGCCGGCAGATCCCGGTTTACCGCCCAACACCCATATTTCACCAGCGTTCAGTCTTCTGCGACCAACTATGCAACTCAACAATGTAGTTTTTCCACATCCACTGGCTCCCAAAAGACCATATCTAGAAAATTAATACCACGTACAAAAAGCGTTCGGGGCCACAATATAATACAATAGATATCGTAAGTACCCTTAAACGTAATCCAACTGATAATTATAGTTATTAATACATATGTAAGTACCTATATGTATTAATTTCTTTGTGTTTTTTTTTGTTCACTACAAACACATTATATTAGTATGTTACTACCGGCTAGATATTTTATAATCCTCACATCAATCGTGTGTAATATCTATATCAAAACCTACACATTATTTCTTTTGTTAAGTTTCGTGGTTTTCAATGTCATGCAATGAACACATTTCTTCAGTTTTCAGTCATCAGTTCTCAGAACTCTAATTAAGTAAATTATACATAACTACCTACTTCTCAAACATAACAAATTAAATGTCCTTTATAAATGATAATATACAATTATGTAAATATTTTATTTTACGTTATTGGCGATTGAAAGTGATAAGATGTACCGGGGACGCTGTGTATCATATGTATGTTATTTTACATGTTCCCTGTTACAGATCCACCCCCTCCGGCCTGATAATTGATAAGCTTTCAATCGCAAATTCTTAGGTAATTTTCGTATGTGCCATTATATAGTATTACTTATATATTACCTATACATATTATGTAAGTATATGTTAGGTAAATATAATTCGTAAGTGTACCTACGTTCAATGTACACTTACGAATTTTTCTTCATGTAAAAGAAAACATTTTAACAAACTTACATGCAGCCTTTTGGGACAGTCATGTTAAGCCCATCAAGTATAACATGTGGATTGGAGCTCTGTCCATACTTCTTGTAAGCACGTCTTACGCACACAGCTTGTTGGCGCCTCGTCCATATTGTTGACTGTTGTGTTTCCAACGGAGGCCGTCGCTCCGTCAATCCGATTGGCAATTCTGGACGCATCGCTATAATATCGTGTAAAACAAATAATTATTAATCAATTGTTTTTAATTAAAAATAATAATAATTTTAGTTTAGTGAAACAGAGAGGAATGGGTTTATATTATTCTATAGAGTCCTTACTCCTTAGCATGTTTCACAACAAAATATAGGTAATCGTCCCATATTGTTCCCGAATAACATAAAGGTCGGTAAGATATAACTACAGAATACATGTAGATTGTAGTCATGTACGTTGTATACATAATTTTAGTTGGTATATCGAAAACTCACAAGCCTCCGAGCTGTTTTAATGAAAAATGAAACAATTAATACTACCTAGTCGCGCTATTTACAACATCAGTCTATAATCCTCACCTTGTCGATGGCAGCCTTGTGAAGAGCATTAGACTTGGAAACATTTATCGTTTGTGACTGTAACTATTATATGATTCAACTAATCAATTATATCTAATGAGCTATAATATTATTCTATTTTAACTATGTGTGGCTACACTCTAAATCGATGGATTTATAAAATGCATAAACCAAATAGTCTATAAAATAAATATTTATTATTTATTTATGTTATCCATAACTCACCAGTCACTATACCGTTTATACCTAAATAATATCGCCAATGGTGGGTAAACAATTAATTACATATTATTCAAGTAATAATAATAAGTAATAACTAAATATAATGATATAAACTCGTAGTTTCAACAAATATATTTTTATTTCATTATAATTGTTTTTGCAATGTAAATTTTCATTGTCTTCGGTTTCAATATTGTACATAAGATTAAGGAATTATAAAAAGTTATTAATACTTGATTTGAACTCGAACCGAATACTTTGCACTCTATACTCATTTGTAATATCTGAGAAGTGGGATGCTGTTGAATAATCTAACTATACCATCTATACCTACTTCTAATTTTAATTTATATTCATGATCAAAATCCATCCATAACTATAAATCCAAAATTATGATTGAACAATTTACATGACAAATCGAGTAAGTATAATATTATTGTTATGATATCAATTATCAAACGGCATCCATTGTTACATAAAATATAAGTATCTATGCCGCATCTAAAATGTACCTTGTGTCCTTGTCTTCCTTGTAAATTCACATACTCAAGAACCTAACCAGTCATTAACGTGTGCAGCTCAACGTGCTACGGGTAATCGTTAACGTGGGTGGAAATAATTATATGTGTAATTGATAGTTACTAATAACTTATAACACGTTTTGACGGTGAGAAAATTCGCATACATAAGACATAAGTAGGTACATAACACGTGTATTGAACAAAATTAATGACAACTCACGTTTCACATACTTTGTATTGAATATATATTAATGTAGGTACCATGTACGATTTCAATAGTTAAATTTGATATTTTGATCCACAGCGTCGTGTTCTAATAGTTCATAAAATGTTATACACGATCATTATATTTTGTTTTATTATAAATATTAAGGTATTCAAGTAGGTATATTATAATTTAAAATGTATTTGCGGTTTTTAGGTTTATTTTAGAGAGTCCAAACGTTGGTTTTCCAAGATTGTCCTGGTGTCCCAAAATCTTTATTAGAACTTGATATATATGATATGACCAGGAATTATTTCGTTATTATAAATGTGTGTGACGTAATTTGATAACTTATATTACCGTTTTCGTCATATTTATATAATTTTGTTTATCACGTTTTTTTTTTATTAATCTGTTCACAATAATGAATTAACATAAAAATTGTAATAAATCTTGAAATATACATTTTATACAACAATTTATTGTAACACAAAAGTTGAAAACAATTAATGCATTAACTACGGCCTATGAGTAAAATATAATAAACTGTAAACAAATAAATCGTAAAGGCCAATAGCCAATAGGTATACTATTATTATTTCAATATCATTAATTGCGATCCTGGTGTTATGTTTTTCTATACACCTGATGGCTGATACTCTCCCCAGTCCCCCCTAGATAAGCCTCAGCTTTATTACATTTTCTAACAAAGTATCACATGAATAATTTAGTTCCACTCATTTATAATCTCACTTTTTTTGATTTTTTGGTCAAATTTATATGCATTACATTTTAGTGTATATATTAATGAAAGTAATTTCGATCATTAAAATAAATGAAATACAATTTTGTTAAACAAAAAAAATTGTAGGCACTAATATTTTTTTTTTATTATTAAAAGTTTTTATTTACAATCTATATATTAATAACGGTACGAATATATAAAATATAAATAATAATCAACGATTCAATTATTGTTTTATCTCTCTATATATTTAAAATGTAATACATTGATTCTGGACTCTAGCCATCTAGTAATCTGTAGGATAGATATTGATTTAATCCGCTGTAGATACATAGTGTTATAATTTAAATTTAAATAGGTATATCCAATCCTTTAATTAAAGCTCTTTCAGCAATTGTTATTCCGGGTAATCCTCCAAGGCGTTTAAAACGAAACTGGTGTAGAGATATGCTAACTTAATATTATAATATAAAAAACAAATAAATAAATAAATTCATATATATATATATATATATATATATATATATAAACTAATGTATAACCTCAATTTTTAATTGTCATCACTGGGTGGCTGCTTTTATCAAACCTTTTCATGTATTATATTTATCTCAGCTTATACTCTTATTGTACCCATGAGGTACAGATTGTATACATAATAATAAAGGAAAAAAATAGGTACATGATATGATAAAATATTTATGATAATTATTATAAGAAATATTTTTATAATTATAGTAATTTAATAAAACGTCCTTCGGTACATGTAAATCAGGGACACTGTGGTAAAATTTACCAACATTAGTTAAGTTCTGTATTTCTGTATCTATAAAAATTTAAACATTATTATTGTACAACAGTATATAAACACTGAGATAATATAATAGATGAATTGACTGTTTGAAATAAATACCTAAAAGCTTATTATAAATACCTACTTATTATATTTTACTATAGGTTAGTAGTTGTTTATATAAACATGAGATACTCAGCTACTACTATACTAGAGTAGTAGAGTGCTGTAAAATATTGAGGATTATTTCTGGTAGTTCCGGTAGAAAATTGGATCTAATTGGATTTAGGAGCTAAAGGTAAAATTGTCAAGTACTTATCTGAAAAAAACTAAGCGTAAGGCCATACATTTTTTATGAGCGTTTGTAGTTAAAATTCTGATGACAATATGACATCATTATTCAAAAAACACTTGCAATCTATGTCAATACACTATACACAGTAAAATATTCAAAATATAATCATAAATCATATACCATAAACCTATATTCACACCATTCTATGGCACGTCGGCGTTGACTTATAAGTTAATACTTATGTAATAATAATATACTATACTAAAAATATTATTATTATTATTTGACATTAAACTTTCAAATGTTGACAAAATTGGATATTTAAATGAAAAATAACGATTTTAGTTAGATATTTTGTTGTAATTCAAAAAATAATATTGGTAGGATTTTTTACCTATTCGTATATTATTATTTAGGTACTCTACACATCATTCAATGCAATTTTTAAAATATTTAAATTTATTTTAAGCTATTTATGCGACACACTTATTTATACTGTTAAACAGTACGTCTGCATTGAGTATTGACTTGTAATTTACTCGTTAATAACAGCTACAAATATTATATGAAATAATATTACAATAATTATTATATAAATGTATGCGATTTATTGTTGCCAAAAATTAGTTCAACCTTTCGTATTACTAATATAAAAATAAATTACTTATAAAAATATAAAAATGTACTTAATAAAATATCCTCAGAAATACAGGCAGTCTCCACCAAGGGCGTCCACAGGGGGACGGGGCAAGAAGGTGTGTTTACTCCCACCTTGAATTTTTTTCAGAGAAAATTATGATAATTATTACGTGTAATGCAAAATATCATAAAATAAACATATTACAAAATTTTTTTTACCAAGTGACTTTTTATTAAACTCGATTATATGAACATCAAAACTAAAAAGACGTTGCTTATATAGATTTAAGGTATGTAGTGGTGGGGCCAAGTAGTTATAAGTTATAACTTATAATAGTGTCAATCAAGTTTTTACTTTTATGATAAAAATAAATAAATTCTCATCGAATATTTTATCTTATCAAAGTATAATTTATAATATTTATTAATACAGTTACGTTTTGTTTTTTTAAGTAACCAATAAAAGAAATAATGGTTCTTTTCTACCGCTTATATGCTGTTTTACCGCTGACCACCGTATATGCGTGGTTAGTAATTTTACCTTACACTGGCCCACGAAAACTGACTGCCCAAAAATATTCTATTTTTTGGGGACTCAGATATTAAACTCAATGCCCAGTGATGTGGCCAATATACCCCTACCCCTATTCAAAAATAAATTTCCCTCTGGCTCCGATATGATAAAGTTAAATATATGTACCATACTTAATAACACCTATAAGTTGTAACATGAATCTAAAAAGTTTTATAATTCTTGAGAAAAATCTTTTAGATTCTGAGTGGAACGATGAATGTATTGATTTTACAATGATGTGTGTGTGTTTTTTTTTTTTTAATTTTTTTGATCAACTTCAGTATCTTATTCGATTGGAAAGTGAATATCGTTGGCGTATTGGGGAGGTCAAAATTTAAAATTCCCAGTAATTTTCAAAAGCGCCAGGAAAAACGTAGGTAAGAAAAATATTTTTCACAAAATAGAATAGAATTTGGTTTTTGGTGTAACTATAAAACAAATTACCATATTATGTTTATATTGCATTTTCTATACACGATAACATTTTCAAAATATTTTGATTTATTTTTAACTGTTTAGGGACATTTTCATTTTCCAATTTTTTTTAGTTTTTTTTTCTAAAAATATCAATAAAATTTCATTTGTTGGTTAAAAAGGCTTGAAAAATGTATAGAAGGCTTATAGTATATTGTTTCAAAGGCATTTGAAAAATATT